TTTTTTTTTTTTTTTTGGGACGGAGTTTCGCTCTTGTTACCCAGGCTGGAGTGCAATGGCGCGATCTCAGCTCACCACAACCGCCGCCTCCTGGGTTCAGGCAATTCTCCTGCCTCAGCCTCCTGAGTGGCTGGGATTACAGGCACGCGCCACCATGCCCAACTAATTTATTGTATTTTTAGTAGAGACGGGGTTTCACCGTGTTGACCAGGATGGTCTCGATGTCTCGACCTCGTGATCCACCCGCCTCGGCCTCCCAAAGTGCTAGGATTACAGGCTTGAGCCACCGCGCCCGGCCGGCAAGGAATATTTTGATTCTTTTTTTTTTTTTTTTTTTGACTCATTTAAAAAAAAATTTTTTTTTTCTTTTTTGAGACAGAGTCTCGCTCTGTCACCAGGCTGGAGTGCAGCGGCGTGATCTTGGCTTACTGCAACCTTCGCCTCTTGGGTCCAAGCTATTCTTCTGCCTCCGCCTCCCGAGTAGCCGGGTCTACAGGCGCACACCACCACGCCCAACTAATTTTTTATATTTTTGGTAGAGATGAGGTTTTACCATGTGGGCCAGGATGGTCTCAATCACCTGACCTCATGATCCGCCCACCTTCGCCTCCCAAAGTGCTGGGATTACAGGCATCAGCCACAGTGCCCAGCCCTTTTTATTTTTATTTTATTTTTTAAATTTTTTCTATCTTAATACCTTTGACCATATTTTATTTTTATTTTTAAAATTATTTTTTATTTTGGAGACAGTTTCGCTCTTCTTGCTCAGGCTCGAGTGCAATGGCACAATCTTGCTACTCTGCATCCCAGGTTCAAGCAATTCTTCTGCTTCAGCTTCCCAAGTAGCTGGGATTATAGGCATGTGCCAACATGCCCAGCTAGTTTTTGTATTTTTAGCAGAGATGGGGTTTCACCATGTTGCTCAGGCTGGTTTCTAAACTTCAGACCTCAGCTGATCCACCCACCTTGGCCTTCCAAAGTGCTGGGATTACAGGTGTGAGCCACTGTGCTCAGCCTTGATTCATTTATTCATTAACAAATATTTAATGAGTGCTGTAATGTGCAGAATGCTGTATCACCTTGAAAATATTTAGGCATTATGAGTTATAGTCACTGCCCTTAAGGAGGAGACATATATACCAACAGTGAATTGCCACAGAGCAGTGTCACAGAGGCCAGGCAGGTAACATGAAGCGTGCAGCCAGCCAGAGAGATGGTGGTGAACTGGAGAGGAGTGACTGAAAGCAGGAAGTTACTCAGCTTGGCTAATTGTTCCTTTATGAGAATGCAGACCCAGGGCTGCCAGATTTTCTTGTTGTTTAAGAGCGACCAGAAACCTCTATATTTAAATATAATTTCCTACTTTATTTATTTTTTTGGAGACAGGGTCTCACTCTTGCTCAGGCTGGAGTGCAGTAGTGCCATCTCAGCTCACTGCAACCTCTGCCTCCGAGGCTCAAGCGATCCTTCCACCTCGGCCTCCCAAGTAGCTGGGATTGCAGGCCTGTGCCAGCACACCCAGCTGTGGGAGTGAATTGAGGGCATTTGTAGAGGAGATTTTGGTATCTAGGAAAGCAAATAAACTCCTCTTCAAGGGGTACCTTCCAACTGTGAGGTACTATAGTGGGCCCAGGTGTACTTGAGAAATGAGAAGCAGAGAGGATTACAAGAAAACTTACAAAACGGGGGTGCCAGAGGGCCTTAGGGGACTTCCATAGTTATCTCTGGTAGTTGGCAGTGACCAGATAGACAGGAAGATAATTGAGAGATCGTGGGACAGAACTGGGATGTGGGAAAAAAGGGCATTCTGGTCATCCCCTTATTCCATCCTTTGACCCTAAAGAGACATATGAGCGGCTCGAGGCTGACAAAAAGAAGCAGGTTCATAAGAAGCGGAAGTGCCCTGGGCCCATAATCACCTATCATTCAGTGACAGTGCCACTTGTTGGGGAGCCGGGCCCCAAGGAAGAAAATGTCGACATAGAAGGGTGAGTGAATCTCAAGAGAAAAGAGATTGTGTGTTCAGCTCATGTTCTCTTGGCCCCATTTGGCTTGCTTTTCTCACTTAGCTCTCCTTAACACTTAGAGATTTCTTTCAGATTCCTTACTCCCTTCAGCTCATTTCTTTTCTTTTTCTTTTTTTCTTTTTTTTGAGAGTCTCGTTCTGTTGCCCAGGCTGGAGTGCAATGGCAAAATCTCGGCTCACTGCAACCTCCGCCTCCTGGGTTCAAGTGATTCTTCTGTTTTTTTTTTAAAGATAGGGTTTCACCATATTGGTCAGGCTGGTCTCCAACTCCTAACCTCAGGTGATCCACCCACCTCAGCCTCCCAAAGTGCTGGGATTACAGGTGTGAGCCACCATGCCCGGCTCAAGTGATTCTCCTGCCTCAGCCTCCTGAGTAGTGGCTGGGATTATAGGTGCGCGCCACCACACTCAGTTAATTTTTGTATTTTTAGTAGAGTCAGGGTTTCATCATGTTAATCAGGATGATCTCAAACGCCTGACTTTGTGATCCTCCCCCTCGGCCTCCCAAAGTACTGGGATTACAGGCGTGAGCCACTGTGCCTGGACTTTTTTTTAAGACAGGGTGTTGCTCTGTTGCCCAGGCTGGAGTGCAGTGGTGCTCATTACAACCTCCTCCTCCTGGGGTCAAGCAATCCTCCCACCTTAGCCTCCCAAGTAGCTGGGAGTACAGCCACACACCACCACGCCTGGCTGATTTTGTATTTTTTGTGGAGATGGGGTTTATCTGTGTCACCCAGACTCCTGAGCTAAGGCAGTCCTCCCACCTCAGCTTACTAAAGTGCTGGGATTATGGGTGTGAGCCACTGTGTCCAGTCCAGTTTAGTTCTTTCTTTCTTTTTTTTTTTTTTTTTTCTTTTTTTTCTTTTAGATTGTCTCTGGACAATATACCAAGTAACAGTTTAGTTCTTTCTTATTCCCGTTTCTTTTAGCTTCTCTCTTCTCTTTCCTATTTTACCTTCTAGCTTAGCTTTCTTTTCCCATCTATGACTTAGTACGTTCCTCAGAATGTTCCCAGCACCCTGCCTCCTTTGTCTCTTTCCTAGTCTCTCTGATTTCCTTCTTTCTTTTTTTTTTTTTTTTTTTTTTTTTTTTGAGATGGAGTCTCACTCTGTCACCTAGGCTGGAATGCAATGGTGCAGTCTTGGCTCACTCCAACTTTCACCTCCCGGGTTCAAGTGATTCTCCTGCCTCAGCCTCCTGAGTAGCTGGAATTACAGGCACCTGCCACCACCGCCATGCTCGGCTAATTTTAGTATTTTTAGTAGAGACGGAGTTTCACCATGTTGGTCAGGCTGGTCTTGAACTCCTGACCTTATCATCCGCCTGCCTCCCAAAGTGCTGAGATTACAGGCATGAGCCACCACCCTCAGTCTGATTTCCTCCTTGCTATATCTGTTGTCTTCTCTTCTCAGCTCTTTTTTTTTTTTTTTTTTTTTTTGTCTTTTGTCCTCAGACTTGATCCTGCTCCCTCAGTGTCTGCATTGACTCCCCATGCTGGAACTGGACCTGTCAACCCCCCTGCTCGCTGCTCACGTACCTTCATCACTTTTAGTGATGATGCAACTTTCGAGGAATGGTTCCCTCAAGGGCGGCCCCCAAAAGTCCCTGTTCGGGAGGTCTGTCCAGTGACCCATCGTCCAGCCCTATACCGGGACCCTGTTACAGACATACCCTACGCCACTGCTCGAGCCTTCAAGATCATTCGTGAGGCCTACAAGAAGTACATTACTGCCCACGGACTGCCACCCACTGCCTCAGCCCTGGGCCCCGGCCCACCACCTCCTGAGCCTCTCCCTGGCTCTGGGCCGCGAGCCTTGCGCCAGAAAATTATCATTAAATGAAGAGGTGTCTAGTCCTCAGAAACTTCTTCCCTGCTCTGATTGGAGCTCTTGCTGTTCCCTTTCCTCTCCCTGCTGCTCCCCTTTGTCACCTCCGATCTTTGCCCAATCCTTTTCTCTTCTTCTTTCTCCTTTTCCCGTAGTTCATCCAGGTTTTTTAATCTAATAAATATAGAAAGATCCCTTTTGTCTGGTGTCTGCACTAGGGTTGGGAGCAAGAAGTATTTGTGAATACCTGAATATATTGGGTCTTTCTATTTATTCAGTAGCATTATGAGCTGTCCTTTCTAAATTGTATTCATTCTTCCAACTAAATTATAAACACCTGAAAATTATACACCAAAACACAACCTTATATTGACCTTTATATCACTTTACACTCTGTTTTGAAAATAGCAGGCACCAGGCCGGGCGCGGTGGCTCAAACCTGTAATCCCAGCACTTTGGGAGGCCGAGGCGGGTGGATCACGAGGTCAAGAGATCGAGACCATCCTGGTCAACAAGGTGAAACCTCGCCTCTACTAAAAATACAAAAATTAGCTGGGCATGGTGGCATGTGCCTGTAGTCCCAGCTACTCAGGAGGCTGAGGCAGGAGAATTGCCTGAACCCAGGAGGCGGAGGTTGCGGTGAGCCGAGATCGCGCCATTGCACTCCAGCCTGGGTAACAAGAGCGAAACTCCGTCTCAAAAAAAAAAAAAAAAAAAAAAAAAAAAATAGCAGGCACCAAATATGGAGGAACTGCCTGATTCTATTTGAACTCTGATGTCTAGGACTGGGGCTTGTATGAAGGGAAGTGGAGGAGGTGCCATGGCTGTCCATGGCCACTAGAGGCGCTCAGGGCTGGGCAGGGTATGGGGGCTGTGTATATGTGATCTCCCACTACCCCCCACCTGGCCAGAGCTAAAATAATAAAATGCTGAGCTCACTGTTCCCCCACCCTCTCCCCCGGCACCGGGCTCCTGCTGCTGCTGGGACAGTGCTCTAGTAGAACAGACCGACCTACTGACACGGGGGAGGTGAGAAGGGAGGTGGCCACCAGGACTGGTAGGTGGGGAAGACCGGGGGCTTACGGTGGGAGATGGGAGGAGAAGAGTGGCTCCTATGGGGAATGATGTGGAGTGTGTCCCTGTCTCTGTCACTCTATATTTCTGCCACCGTGCTGTCCTACCCCTTAACTGTGTGGTTTATGTTGTTGATGTGAATGTCTCACATACTTTCTAGATCTTTCATATTCAGCATGGTTTATATGTATAGCTCCTGTGTGTATCTTACGTTGTACAAGATTGTGCAAGTTTAAGATTTCCACTGTTTTTAAAGAAACTTTACCCCATTTACACCCATTGGTCTGGTGTCACCTTCCTGTCCAAAGCAAGGGACAGTTTATAGGGACTCAGTCCCTCCTCCAGAGGCCTTAGTACTCTTCCCCCAATCTGGAAGTCCTCCGGCTGCTCTGAGCCCTTGCTTTCCCTTAGGATTTCAAATTTTGGCAAACACAGAAAGTGGAATCTTGATCCCCCACAATAAAAGGGAAACGAGAATGGGGTGAGACAGTCTTTTCCCCCTATTCCCCATTTTCCTTGCTTTATACAGTTTAGGAAAAAAGCTGGATTATGAGGAAGAGAGGAGGAACTTCCCTGAAGCTCTCTATTGCCCCTGCCCCTTGCCCCCTTTCAATAGGAACTGGGCAAGGGACCAGCTGTGTTGGCAGGGCTTCCAGCAGCTGTGCCAGGGCGAGGGCACTCACAAGTGAGGTTAGAGCGGAGGGGTGCTCCATGATTTCTGTCATGCCGTGGGAAGACAAACCCAGCTTAGACGTCTGGGATCCCCATCCAGGGAAGCTGGAAGCTGGGGAAGCAGAAAGAAGAGACTCTAGTTCTAACTCAGAACGACCTAATCTTCCCCCAACTTCCCATCTTCAGCTGGATTTCTAACCTCCAAGAAATCCAGTTCAATGTTCTGCCCCCCGGGCTGGTCTCTTTGTGTCCCTGCTGTGTCTCTGTTCATCTTACCATTGTCCATCCTTTTGTCCCATATTCCCCAGGCTCTGTGAGTGCCACACAGTGGGGAGGGGGTGAGGGCCACCATGTCATCATATCAGAAGGAACTGGAGAAATACAGAGACATAGATGAAGATGAGATCCTGAGGACCTTGAGCCCCGAGGAGCTAGAGCAGCTGGACTGCGAGCTGCAGGAGATGGACCCTGAGGTAGGGGCTCCAGCACAGGGAACAGGGGCCGTCCCAGGCATTTGGGAAGGGTGTTGGGCTCTGGGTGGCTGAGAATAGGGTTTGCTACAGGACCTAGAGTCCTAAGAAGGCCAGGGGAAAGGTGTCTAGAGATGTTTTAGGGAACCCTTGCAGTGCCTAGGTCAGAGGGGAGGTCTGACTTGCTCCCCAAAACTCATCCCTAAGAACATGCTCCTGCCAGCTGGACTAAGACAACGTGACCAGACAAAGAAGAGCCCAACGGGGCCACTGGACCGAGACGCCCTTTTGCAGTACTTGGAGCAGCAGGCACTAGAAGTCAAAGAGCGTGATGACTTGGTGCCCTTCACAGGCGAGAAGAAGGGTATGAGGACCCTGACATCCATGCCTGGTAGAACCCAAGTGGCTGTGCTGTCTCTCACATGTCCCCCCTCCAGCTTCCCTCTCACCTTCCAGCTCCCAGCTGCCTAGGGACTCAGAGGCCCTGACACTTAAATGGCAGCTTGCACTCTTCAGTTCTTGAGAAATCAGAGGACTCAGGAGTACTGAGCTTGTAGAGGATTTAGGCTTTCCAGTGTCCCCTTGTGACCCAGCATTCTACCTCCTGGAGAAGAAAAGGAACCTGGAGGCCAGGATCTTGGGAGACATTACCTCTACCTGAACCATCCTTCATCTCCCCATCAGGGAAACCCTATATTCAGCCCAAGAGGGAAATCCCAGCAGAGGAGCAGATCACCCTGGAGCCCGAGCTGGAGGAGGCACTGGCAAATGCCACAGATGCTGAAATGTGTGACATTGCAGGTGGGTAGCTGTGGGAAGTTAAGGGTGGGAGGATCAGGGGTGGATCCTAGCCATGACATGAGACTAGTGAGGAAAGCCCTCCACCAGAATGCATGCATGTCTTAAGAAAGCCTCAAGCAGTGGTTTCAAGCTTTTATTTGTGTATACATTTATTCATTTTTAAATTTAATAACACTCAAGAGCAATTTTTTAGGGATTGTAAGAGCAAATAAAAGTGGAACCGTTGGGTCGGGTGCGGTGGCTCATGCTTGTAACTCCACCACTTTGGGAGGCCACGGCAGGTGGATTGCCTGAGGTCAGGAGTTCGAGACTCGCCTGGGCAACACAGTGAAACCCCATCTCTACTAAAATACAAAAAATTAGCTGGGCATGGTGGCATGCACCTGTAGTCCCAACTACTCAGGAGGCTGTTGCAGGAGAATTGCTTGAACCCAGGAGGCGGAGGTTGGAGTGAGCCAAAATCACACCACTGCATTCCAACCTGGCCGACAGAGTGAGACTGCGTCTCAAGAAAAAAAAAAAAAAAGTGGAACCATTCTGGCTGAAAGCAGAAGGGAGTCTCTGCAGACTTCCTTACCCTCTAGTGGCTCATGAGGGACTTTCCCTTAGTCCTTTCTCAATGTTTTAGGAACTACAGCCTTAAGAAGTTTATGGAAAGGACCCCTGGGGCTAAGAGAGGTTGGGGAACTTCTTTGGAAAAGTGTAAGTAGTCAGGCTTTAAAAATGCAGCAGATTCAGAATGAGGTAGGAGGCAGGCTTGGAACAGGTGCCTTTTCATTCCCTGTGACCCCTCTGCTTATCCTCTCCAGCAATTCTGGACATGTACACACTGATGAGCAACAAGCAATACTATGATGCCCTCTGCAGCGGAGAAATCTGCAACACTGAAGGCATTAGCAGTGAGTGTTTTTGGGGAATACGGTCCTCAGGGCTCTGGGCAGGTAGTCCTAGTGTCCGGGAGAAGGGAGAAAAGGGTGAAACTGATAATTCTGAGAAAGTACATGCTGCATGAGTGATAAGAAAACCAATGGGGTGCCAGGCATGGTGGCTTATGCCTGTCATGTCAGCATTTGGGGAGACTGAGGTGGGCGGATCACTTGAGGTTAGGAGTTCAAAACCAGCCTGGCCAACATGGTGAAACCCTTTCTCTACTAAAATACAAAAATTAGCCAGGTGCACGCCTGTAATCCCAGATATTATACTTGGGAGGCTGAGGCACAAGAATTGGTTGAACCTGAGAGGTTGAAGCTGTTGTGAGCTGAGATTGTGCCACTGCAATCCAGCCTGGGTGGACGGAGCGAGACTCCATCTCAAAAGAAAGAAAAAAAGAAAAACCAATGGGGAGGAGATTGCGGGGAACATGTTGGGGTTCCCCTCCTGCTCTCACTCACTAGGTGTGGTACAGCCTGACAAGTATAAGCCAGTGCCGGATGAACCCCCAAATCCCACAAACATTGAGGACATGCTAAAGAGGGTCCGAAGCAATGACAAGGAGCTGGAGGAGGTGAACCTGAACAACATACAGGTATTTGACTCCCATCCTCCAAACCATAACGCCAGATACCTGCTGACACCCGAGAGCCCCTTCGCCCACCATCTCCAATTCCCCTCTGATAGGACATCCCGCTAGCCATGCTAAGTGAGCTGTGTGAGGCAATGAAGACAAATACCTATGTGCGGAGCTTCAGTCTGGTAGCCACGAGGAGTGGTGACCCCATCGCCAATGTAAGGCTAGTTGGCATCCCCAGCCCTCTCCCCACATCTCCCAGGCACCCCTTGCAGGGCTGTCATGAAGGGTTTTGCTAGGGAGTGCTATTCTCATCAGCCTTCTTAGGGCAGCCCTCATGGAGACTCCTACCCTCAGTGCCATGGCTCATAACTCTCAACCTCTCTAACAGCCCGTCTCTCTAACAGCATATTAATCTCCCTACTTTCCACGGCTATCCCCCTTGCTTTCTGTATCCCTCTAGCCCCATTTACAGCTCCTCAAGGACTCTTCTCAGAGTTTGTGTTTCCCTCTTGCTCCTGTTCTTTCTCTCCTCAGTCATCTGTGAAACTGTTCCCTAATCCTAACCCAAGTCCCTACTACCCAGGCAGTGGCTGACATGTTGCGTGAGAATCGTAGCCTCCAGAGCCTAAACATCGAATCCAACTTCATTAGCAGCACAGGACTCATGGCTGTGCTGAAGGCAGTTCGGGAAAATGCCACACTCACTGAACTCCGTGTAGACAATCAGGTCAGTATTCCCTTCCCCTGATGTTAGCATTCAGTCTCACTGAGTTTCCTCCCTGAGCCGGCCACTGAGGCAGCTATCTTTTTTTTTTTTTTTTTTTTTTTGGAGACGGAGTTTCACTCTTGTTACCCAGGCTGGAGTGCAATGGCGCGATCTCAGCTCACCGCAACCTCCGCCTCCTGGGTTCAGGCAATTCTCCTGCCTCAGCCTCCTGAGTAGCTGGGATTACAGGCACGCACCACCATGCCCAGCTAATTTTTCGTAGTTTTTTTAGTAGAGACGGGGTTTCACCATGTTGACCAGGACGGTCTCGATCTCTTGACCTCGGGATCCACCCGCCTCGGCCTCCCAAAGTGCTGGGATTACAGGCTTGAGCCACCGCGCCCGGCGCAGCTATCTTTTTAAATCTTGTTTGAATTCTCCTCTTCATTGTCTCTATGAGGGAAGCCAAGTCAGCATCTCTCGTCACCTACTGTGGAGAAACAAGCCTCTTTGACTTCCCAAAAGGATCTGTGGTCTGGGATGGTAAATAGCCCAGAGAGAGTGACTGTCAGCTTTTGCCTGGCCCTCCCCCAGCGCCAGTGGCCGGGTGATGCGGTGGAGATGGAGATGGCCACCGTGCTAGAGCAGTGTCCCTCCATTGTCCGCTTCGGCTACCACTTTACGCAGCAGGGGCCACGTGCTCGGGCAGCCCAGGCCATGACCCGAAACAATGAACTACGTGAGTAACTGCAGACACGATGTGTGGGGTGGGTGGGGAAGTGCAGAAATGGGCGGGTCCTTATGAAAGCAGACCTAATGACTAACAGCCTGGGATGCTTCCAAAGAGGCATTCATATGAGAAGTTCAAATCTCAACAGTGATCAGAAAGGAGACAGAAAACTCCACCTGCCTCAAGCATAGACCAGTAGAGAGGTAGAAAGAATGCTAGAGATAAGAATACTTGTTTAGAGGTAGCATCATTTTATTTGTGGTGTGGTTTGTTTTGTTTATGTGGGATGGGCCTGTAAGGTGGCCTAAGACACTACCAATTTATAAGTTTGGCTAAGGGACTGGAAAGAAGAAGAGTCTCTTTGCAGAAAACATGAGCGGGAACAAACACTTAGGTTTAATCTTCCTCCTTTACAGGTCGCCAGCAAAAGAAGAGATAACACTGCATTTCCCTTTACCAACCAGAGCTGGGAGCACTGGACACTTAAATCCTCATCTGTCCTCCTTTCCTGTAAATAAAAGCCCTTCTGTCCATTTTGCCTGTCTCCTTCCTTGGGCTTTCGGTGGGAATCTTGGCGCTAACCCCCAAGGGTTACTGCCAATTCACCAGGGGATTATTTATACTCTGGGGATCAGCAGGCAGGGAGGTTCAGGTTACCAGTAGGAGGTGGGGGAGCTCCCTCCCTTGGTGTTCCCCATAACCTTGCCAATGCCTTTAGAGTCTTCTACTTTCTCAGGGTACTTAGCCTCAGCCCTGTTTCCAGATGTGGCCAGGTGCCCCCGGTGCCTACCCACAGTCCTCATGTGATTTGAAGGGGAAAGGACTTTAAGTGGTAGCAGAGAAGGAGGCAGACAACATGAAGGGCAAAGACCTCTTTTAGACAGTCTTATTAATAGGGCACCGGGCTGATGCAGCTGACGCTTGGCATGGCTTTGGTAGAAGATGGGGGAGGGGTTAGAAGTATGGAGAGCTGTGTACATTACAGGAAAGGAATAGCCGGAATGAGAATGAACAGATCCGAAATTCTGAGATCCAACAAGAAACTAGACTTGAGGAAAGTTAAGTTCTCAGCACCCGTTGCAGTTTATTTGTGAATGAATGGGAAAAGCGTGTCAGTCCAAGCGGAAATCAGGTGGTTCCTCATCAGAGTCAAACTCAACATTCTCGTCTTTTACCCATCGACCTCGTCCATCTGGGATCCATCCAGAGCTGAAAACATCAGAGAAAATGGCATTGATCAGGAAAGAGGCTCATTAAGAAGTCAATGGTGAGCTCACACCTGTAATCCCAGCACTTTGGAAGGCTGAGGCGGGCGGCTCACCTGAGGTCAGGAGTTTCACCAGCCTGACCAACATGGTGAAATGCTGTCTCTAGCAAAAAAAAGTCAGTGGTGAGAAAAAATTGAGAGTCATGTAAGTTGGGTGGCTAAAACAAAATGGAACCAAAGATAAAAAACAAAAATAGCCGGGCGCGGTGGCTCAAGCCTGTAATCCCAGCACTTTGGGAGGCCGAGGCGGGTGGATCACGAGGTCAAGAGATCGAGACCATCCTGGTCAACATGGTGAAACCCTGTCTCTACTAAAAATACAAAAAATTAGCTGGGCATGGTGGTGCGTGCCTGTAATCCCAGCTACTCAGGAGGCTGAGGCAGGAGAATTGCCTGAACCCAGGAGGCGGAGGTTGCGGTGAGCCGAGATCGCGCCATTGCACTCCAGCCTGGGTAACATGAGTGAAACTCC